CAAATATAGTGTGATCTACAGCGAGGCGGCCAAATTTGTCCATTGACGCTGTTCAGCCAACTACAATTTTACTTCGTTGCTGCCTCTGATCTGGTCAGTCAAATCCAATGTCAACTGCTGCGAGTCAAATTTGGCCATGGCTGCTACTTCTGGTCCATCACATACAGTATCATCTGCGGGGAATCTGTCGAATGATTCGTCCAGTTCTGCCCGTCAGCCAACCATCGTGTCACCTGCTGCAGGTCTGCCAAATTTGAATGTTGCTGTTGGTCAATGGGACGTATGACAGACAGACTAAGACAGTCTGTGACCTATAAGTAATCACTTGCACATTGTTCAGAAGACAGTATATTGCGGGTCACCCATATTTGCCCTTAGCAGCCAGTCAGCCACTAATTTCCTGCTGGCGGTCCACCGTATATGTCGACTACTGTCGGTCGGTCGGTACCCGTATGTCGTGTATTGCCTTCAGTCGCACATGTTGCTGCAACTAGCCAGCGGGTTTTCTCACATCACGGTAATGATGGATATACCGGACAGTGCTGCCCCTGCGTGGGCTCTGCGGCCACATGAACGAGTGGAGAGGTTTTCACAATTATTCTGGGGTCCAGTAAGTAGCTGCAACACCCCGACCGGTCTGCAAGCAACCCCTGCATGAGCAGCAAGAGATTTGGGTGTAGTGCGAGAGCCGCCATCCATCTAAGTCTGGAGGCCGTGAAGAATGATCAAACCATGATGGCAGAGATGCTGCAGTATTGGAGTGGCGCGGAAGTGGATGGATTTGATGTGGCTGCCTCAGTAGCGGTATTGCAGCAGAGGAGGCTAGCCGAGTTTTGGGCAGCGGCTAGGCATCAAGAAAAATCCGGTATCACCCACAGCGGCAATCTGACAAGTGCGATGCGGGATAGCCATTCATGTGCCGAGGGCATGTCAATTCCCTCAGATACCACCTCGGCTGAGTTATCCATCAGGCAAGTGTACTTGATGATAAACAATATCTATTTTTGGCATAAGGTATTCAATTTGCATTGAATGAGTGGTTAGGCCATGCAACAAGCTTCTTACAAGCAGATGAATATGATGTAGGGGTCTGGTGGGTCGTGCAGCTTCTGTGTGAGGGTTATAGTTACTCGTAATTCTCGGTGCTTTGCCCTACGCCAAACCCATGTTGTAACATCACTATGATCCATGGACATGAAAAAACACAACTATTATAAGGTATACGGGTACCTACGGAAGCATAAATAAGGGATGAGGAGCCTGAATGAAACAAACACTGAAAAGTGTGCAGTAGTTGTGTAGGCGATTACCGGATATCTGGTACCCTATTCTTACCCCTTTTCCTTGTCAGTGAAGTGTAAGAGAGCTCCAGTGCGGCTCAGAAGTGTGAAGGGTGTGAATGCCTTTAGGCAATGAGTGAGAGAGATAATGCCAAAGTGGCACAGTTTGGTGGGTGTGAATGCCTTCGGGCAATGAGTGAGAGAGCTAATGCCAAAGTGGCACAGTTTGGTGGGTGTGAATGCCTTCGGGCAATGAGTGAGAGAGCTAATGCCGAAGTGGCACAGGTTGCCGAAGTGGCACAGTTTGCCGAAGTGGCACAGTTTGGTGGGTGCGAATGCCTTCGGGCAATGGGTGAGAGAGCTAATGCCGAAGTGGCACAGTTTGGTGGGTGTGAATGCCTTCGGGCAATGAGTGAGAGAGCTAATGCCGAAGTGGCGCAGGTTGCCGAAGTGGCACAGTTTGGTGGGTGTGAATGCCTTCGGGCAAGGAGTGAGAGAGCTAATGCCGAAGTGGCACAGTTTGGTGGGTGTGAATGCCTTCGGGCAATGAGTGAGAGAGCTAATGCCGAAGTGGCACAGGTTGCCGAAGTGGCACAGTTTGGTGGGTGCGAATGCCTTCGGGGAATGAGTGAGAGAGCTAATGCCGAAGTGGCACAGTTTGGTGGGTGTGAATGCCTTCGGGCAATGAGTGAGAGAGCTAATGCCGAAGTGGCACAGGTTGCCGAAGTGGCACAGTTTGGTGGGTGTGAATGCCTTCGGGCAAGGAGTGAGAGAGCTAATGCCGAAGTGGCACAGTTTGGTGGGTGTGAATGCCTTCGGGCAATGAGTGAGAGAGCTAATGCCGAAGTGGCACAGGTTGCCGAAGTGGCACAGTTTGGTGGGTGCGAATGCCTTCGAGCAATGAGTGAGAGAGCTAATGCCGAAGTGGCACAGTTTGGTGGGTGTGAATGCCTTCGGGCAATGAGTGAGAGAGCTAATGCCGAAGTGGCACAGTTTGGTGGGTGTGAATGCCTTCGGGCAATGAGTGAGAGAGCTAATGCCGAAGTGGCACAGTTCGGTGGGTGCGAATGCCTTCGGGCAATGAGTGAGAGCGAGAGAGAGAGAGAGAGAGAGAGAGAGAGAGAGAGCGCGCACGAGAGAGAGAGAGCGCACGAGAGAGAGAGAGAGAGATTGCAGAAGCAGCACAGTTTGACAGATGTGAATGACTGCAGGCAATGAATGAGAGAGAATCATGCCTAAAAGACACTGTCGGCATGGCACTGCATTTTCGGAAACTTGGGCTAGAGAACGCCCAGATAAACAATCATTACTTTTGTAGGCAGTCTCAGAGAGTTGAGAAAGTATAACTATACCGTAAAGTACCGTTGATCCGCCCCCTCTCTAATTCCCGCCCCCTGTCGATTTTCTCCTTGTGAAGCGACTTCGGCGTATACAACGAAATACGATGTTGAACCGACGCATACACTTCTGTACACAATACTTGCCAATCCAGGATCAAAATGTGCACAATCCAGCACATTGAGACAGATCCTCTACGTTGTTGTACATCGTACTGCACTTGACAGCCTTGATCTAATTCCCGCCCCCTGCCGAAAACCCAGCTGGGAAGCGACATGGCGTGGGGGCGGATCAACGGTACTTTACGGTACTAGTATATAAATGAGGTGGGGATAGTATTGGACTGGAGTGACAATGTGAATTTGCACTGTGAGAAAACTCCTGCGTGGCATGAAAGGGGGATGGTATGATCTTACCATAGTCGCCTGTGCTGAGCTCATACAAGATGGGTGAGAAATACAGTACCTCCTTTGGCCTGCAGTTGTGTGTGGTGTTTGTGCTTCGCTTCTGTAACTTGTGTGTTTTCACAGGTGGAGGCTTGGGGCACGGAGGTGCCATATCTCGTCTTAACCTTGCACTTAGTTGTGTGGTTATCGCAGTGGTCTGAAGGGCACGAAGAATGGCTGGGTTCAGGGGGCCATTTGATACCTACCGAGTCAATGCCCTGACCATACAGTAGGGGCTTTGGCCTACATAAAGACGTTCTTGGTACAATCACATCAGCAGCTGGGCCAGCCATTGTATGGCGAGACACATACTTGCCATTTACCATGGCCTTTACGTCTCTGTGACTCTATGACGTATACCTGGGCTGAGAGCTGTTTCTATAGATGCTGCGCGAATGAAGTTAACGAGAGTGGTGTTCAGGAACATGGATAGTGCAGTCTGCCTTGCTGGCCGAATCCATCGCTCATATTGCCAAACATTTGGAATCTAGGCAAGCGCTATGCCGCCGAACCGGAGAACACAGCTTGACAGGTAACACGGAGTATGTTGCACCCAGGCTATCCTTTTCTGTCGCCATTGCCGAGCCACCGTGCTCACAGCAGAGACTTCTGTGTGTGTTATTGTCGTGAAAGTGGACCACAAAGACGGTACGCTTTCCAACGGCCAAAGAGAGTTGGAAAGCTTGTGTCTTTGTGGGTAACTTGAACATTTGGGGCTCATGTAAAATCACTGATTTTGGGATTTCCCTGCAACTTTTTGTTTCAGCAAAAATGTTGTGCTTGACTGCATTCCTGTCACTTCGCAGTGGCTTTTCGTTGGTGCAGTTTGTATCCCACCCTCCCACCCTTGACTTCTGGGTGTGTGTTTATCGATATAATCTTATCGGCTTTCTTATTGGCCATGTGGCTGTGGCAGTTACGACTGCTTTTCTTTTTTAGTTTAAAAACGTAGGGGTGGTGTGTGCGTCGCTGGCCTTTGTATGGTTACGTACAGCTTCAGATTGTATAGCTAGTGCCAGGGGAGTTCAATTGAATCTGCATGGGAAGAATACTACTGTATTGTGATTGAACTGAAGCTGGATGATGACCGTGTGGTGAGTGTGTGGGTTTTTTCAAGATACCGTCTTGGGGCAGGGATGTAGGTCCTTTAGCTTGGACGGGTGTTGTTACATTCATTGTAACATCTTGTCGTTTCTGTGTGCTTTGCTGTGCGACTAGCAGCAGTATCTTGTGCTTATTTTTCTTATCTCTATGCATCCAATTATGGAGAAAAAAAATCAGGAAGAGGATAATAATTATAATATCAATAAATAAAGGCATTGCCGAGCCACCGTGCTCACAGCAGAGACTTCTGTGTGTGTTATTGTCGTGAAAGTGGACCACAAAGACCGGTACTGTAGTGTACTACTACCAAGAGTATACCCCCATGTTCATGTACTCTTGCTACAGTACTACTGAGTACTGTACGTCTGTAGTACTACTACTAGCACTACAGTACCAAGAGACAAGACTCAAGGCAAGAGTAGATAAAACGAGTGTGTCAAACATCACGTGACCCCTGTACGACAAAATATTAATGTCCGGAGCTACAAATAAAATTTAATAATACATGTAGCTGCATATTTTTTTTGGGGGGGGGCTTTGTGGATCTACCGTTTGGCTTTTGGCCCGGTGCAGTTTGGTAGTTTGGCCGTTTGGGTGAGTTTGGGTCATGAGGTCACGTGGTCTGAAGTACCTGGTCGACCCACGTCCACCATGCATGGTCCACCTGCACCGGCCCAGGCCAGGTATACAGTGCTAGCAGTAGCATCAAGAGTAGATAAACAGTTTATCTACTCTTGGTAGCATGCTCAAGCTACGTTTTTGTAGATCAGGTCACGTGCTAGCTAGCTGTCCGATAAAAAGAACAAGAATGAATGAAACACAAACAGGAAAATAAACGAGAACGTTACTTGCAGACTACTTGTACTTCCAGCAAGATTCCCCGACTGGCCGAAGTCAAGAGTTATGTGCTCTTTGTTATGGTCCTGGTACCTGGGCACGCAACGGTAGCAGACGTGCATTCGTGGTTTGGGGACTTTGCAATTCTCGTGCATGGTAAATTATTTTCCTTGGTTCCTGTGGCGAAAGTGCCACAACTGTCATTTTCAGTTCAGAAAGTGCCATTTCATTATGACTGATTGTTTCCCTTTGAGTGAGCACTCATTTCATTTTTGTAAAAGCCAATCCTTGATCTTGTTGACCCATCGATTATCAAAGATTGGAGGTGTAGAGAGACAACATGGTTCAACACTATGTGTCCCCCGTCTACGTCTACAAGTACCCCTTCGAGATGGTCATGGCGGTAAGAACATTTTGATTTTAGTTTTTCATTTGTTCAACACTTGCGTCTATCATTCGTGACTTCTTCTCGCTACCAGTATGAATATGTCTTGTATTTAAAGAGTCTGAAACTGTCGTTGTTTCTTGCAGGAAGTTTTATGGGCGTTGTATATTCTCATGTGCATCAACATTAAATTTTGTAGTTCAAATTTGACGAAATCATTCATTCCTATAGAGACTGAATAGCACTTTCTCCGATATGCTCCTATGTACGTTACATTGTAGTTCACTTGCCTAATATAAGGATAAACAGAGCGCTCAACCTAACACAACATGATACAGCCATGTCATGTGTAGCACGTGTGACCATTCATGTGTGAACTCCTTAATCATTCTATATGTGTGCGCGCGCGTGTGTGTGTGTGTGTGTGTGCGCGCGTGTGTGTGCGCGTGTGTGTGTGCGCGCGTATGTACGTATGTGTGCGCACGTGTGTGTGTGCGCACGTGTGTGTGTGCGCACGTGTGTGTGCGCACGTGTGTGTGTGTGCGCACGTGTGTGTGTGTGTGTGTGTGCGCACGTGTGTGTGTGTGTGCGCACGTGTGTGTGTGTGTGTGTGTGTCTGCGCGCATGAGTGTGTGTGTGTATGTATGTGTATGTATGTGTGTGTGTGTGTTGGTATGTGTGTATGTGTGTGTTTGTATGTATGTATGTGTGTGTGTGTGTTTGTGTGTGTGTGTGTGTGTGTGTGTGTGTGTGTGTGTGTGTGTGTGTGTGTGTGCATCAATGGTGAACAGGCATACATTCGCCGATTCCCTCGCACTGAGCACATCCCGATCTTGGCCGATACTGAAATAGTAGAAGAAGAAACAAGTGAGGACGGCATGGAGATACGAACAAAACGTCGTTGCAAGCTGGTAGTGGAGGCACCATATCTCATCAAGCGGGTACTGTTCTCGTATGCAAAATACATTATTGTATTGCTTGGTTGTACTCCAGCCGGTTGCAGGGGCTTACGGATGGACGGCTGTTAAGCAGTCTGGAATATAGAAAAGCCTTACCGTATATTCTCTATTATGAGCACAGGTCTCCATTACTAGCACAATGTCTAATACTAGCACACTGTGAGCACCTTTCGAAACATTATAAGTACAGTCTCTATTATTAGCACGGTCTTGGTGGAAATCAATGCTGCATGCATGATATCTAGCATGTATTTCTTCTTGCTCTGTATGGATTGTATTGGTTGAAAAAATATAAGCGCGGTCTCCGCTATAAGTGCAGTCTGCGATATAAGCTGTTAAGCAGAGGGGAGGGGGTAGAGGGTGTTAAGCAGAGGGGAGGGGGTAGAGGGTGTTAAGCAGAGGGGGGGGGGGGGGGGTAGAGGGTGTTAAGCAGAGGGGAGGGGGTAGAGGGTGTTAAGCAGAGGGGGGGGGGGGGGGGTAGAGGGTGTTAAGCAGAGGGGGGGGGGGGGGGGTAGAGGGTGTTTAAAACATCTAAGTACGGCGCTTCTAATAGAGAATATACGGTATGTTGGGTATCACCATGTCTACATGCACGTTAGAATGTAATATTAAGTTGAATTATTAACCCTTTCCATGCCAGCATGTTTTCCTGTGTTGGCCGTGCACTTGTTGACGCTGAGCTCACCTGTTCAAAGCTACACACTCCGCTCAGAATGAAATTTATTCCTATTTTTACTGTACCTGGATGGATTTTCATGATCCATGGCTTGTTGGAAAGATCTGGACCACGGGAAGGCATTTCAGAAACTCACCAGGGCCACTTCCATCTCCTCCCCAACTCCCCCTACCATGCCTAAAAATAACAAAACAACTGCCTCTCGTGTTTTCTTTCGTCTTCTTGCTCACAGTCAACGGATTTTCACGATTCAAACTGCTTTGGAAAGCTGAGATTCAAGCGCCTTTGTTGAAGCTCACTGTGCACGCGCTGTCTCTAGGGGAAATCCTCTAGCCAGCACGAAGTCGCGATCAAGAAAATTGAATCGATCGCCAAAAAGTGAAACTTGCGCATTCTGGCCGTTTAATTTGTCGCCACTCAGCCATACCTTGTCGTATCGTGAAGAACTTTATATCCCTGGAAAGCTGAGCTCAAGACCTTTCCAGCAGTGTCTCAACTTTAGAAATCCGGGATAATTGAACGGAGTTCTGACAGTTTGTACACTCATCTATAGCCCGCGATTCACATGTACTGTACAGTGTACATTGTACAGTGCACAGTGTACAGTGTAGGCAGAACGCATAAACGCGTCCATTTCCAATCTGCTCATACTAAAAAACACGTAAACCCGTCCATGGCAGCATGGAAAGGGTTAATATTACGGAAAGGGTTAATATTACAGGTGCAATCCTGAGAATTCGAATATGCTTTAATTAGAACATACTGCTTAATTAGAAGTTTCTTCCGGGACCGATTTCTATCAATACGATTTCCGCATACCGTACTAGCGCACATCTAAGCACATGCGCTTATAAGTGAATTTTTGCTATGAATCCAATTTTCGAAAATGAAATATTTTCACCTAAACGCGCATGCGCGATCAGAGTTCGCTTGCCAGAGTCTTTGTGTGTTGACTAGGTCAGAGTTGGCTTTCCAGAGTCTTTGTGTGTTGACTAGGTCAGAGTTGGCTTGCCAGAGTCTTTGTGTTGACTAGGTCAGAGTTGGCTTGCCAGAGTCTTTGTGTGTTGACTAGGTCAGAGTTGGCTTTCCAGAGTCTTTGTGTGTTGACTAGGTCAGAGTTGGCTTGCCAGAGTCTTTGTGTTGAATAGATCAGAGTTGGCTTGCCAGAGTCTTTGTGTTGACTAGATCAGAGTTGGCTTGCCAGAGTCTTTGTGTTGACTAGATCAGAGTTGGCTTGCCAGAGTCTTTGTGTTGACTAGGTCAGAGTTGGCTTGCCAGAGTCTTTGTGTGTTGACTAGGTCAGAGTTGGCTTGCCAGAGTCTTTGTGTGTTGACTAGGTCAGAGTTGGCTTGCCAGAGTCTTTGTGTGTTGACTAGGTCAGAGTTGGCTTGCCAGAGTCTTTGTGTGTTGACTAGGTCAGAGTTGGCTTGCCAGAGTCTTTGTGTGTTGACTAGGTCAGAGTTGGCTTTCCAGAGTCTTTGTGTGTTGACTAGGTCAGAGTTGGCTTGCCAGAGTCTTTGTGTTGACTAGATCAGAGTTGGCTTGCCAGAGTCTTTGTGTTGACTAGATCAGAGTTGGCTTGCCAGAGTCTTTGTGTGTTGACTAGATCAGAGTTGGCTTGCCAGAGTCTTTGTGTGTTTGACTAGGTCAGAGTTGGCTTGCCAGAGTCTTTGTGTGTTGACTAGGTCAGAGTTGGCTTGCCAGAGTCTTTGTGTGTTGACTAGGTCAGAGTTGGCTTGCCAGAGTCTTTGTGTTGACTAGATCAGAGTTGGCTTGCCAGAGTCTTTGTGTTGACTAGATCAGAGTTGGCTTGCCAGAGTCTTTGTGTGTTGACTAGATCAGAGTTGGCTTGCCAGAGTCTTTGTGTGTTTGACTAGGTCAGAGTTGGCTTGCCAGAGTCTTTGTGTGTTGACTAGGTCAGAGTTGGCTTTCCAGAGTCTTTGTGTGTTGACTAGGTCAGAGTTGGCTTGCCAGAGTCTTTGTGTGTTTGACTAGATCAGAGTTGGCTTGCCAGAGTCTTTGTGTTGACTAGATCAGAGTTGGCTTGCCAGAGTCTTTGTGTGTTGACTAGATCAGAGTTGGCTTGCCAGAGTCTTTGTGTTGACTAGGTCAGAGTTGGCTTGCCAGAGTCTTTGTGTTGACTAGGTCAGAGTTGGCTTGCCAGAGTCTTTGTGTTGACTAGGTCAGAGTTGGCTTGCCAGAGTCTTTGTGTGTTGACTAGGTGTTGTACTTGTAGTGTCTATTTCATGGTTCCTGTATGCTCTTTGCAGACTTTTATCCGTGATTGTGTCAAAGTGAGAATTTCGGTAGTGCTTCGCCTATAAGAGCATGCGTTTATAAGTGAGAGTGCGCTTATGTCCGAATACAGGCACATGCGCTTATATCCGAATACAGGCACATGCGCTTATATGCGAATACAGGCACATGCTTATATGCGAATACAGGCACATGCTTATATGCGAATACAGGCACATGCGCCTATATGTGTGTTACTACGGTAACAATTTCTGATAATTCGAATCTCAAACTGGGTATGTGCGGTTATTTAGAAGTCCCACTTGCATAGAAAATGTGCTGTTGATGCTACTGCTGTGTTTGTGTGTGTGTGTGTGTGCACGCGTGTGTTTTTGTGTGTGTGTGGAGGGGGGGGGGGGGTACTGTGGTGTGGTGACCCCCTATGTGGAGTCATATTCAAGAACGTCTATACCGTTGGTCAGTGTCGTGCAATGTTATCGCATGAGCTGACTGTAAAGTAACTGGTGGTGTTAGTGGACATTATAATAACTCGTATCCATATGTCCTTTTCCTTTCTGCATTTATTATTTTATAGAAGAACAAAAATGACCAATGAACTACAAGTTCGGCTATAATGTCCACTAACACCACCAGTGAGGTAGTTAACAATCAGCTCAAGCAATAACATTGCACGACACTGACCCACGGTGCTGACGTTCTACAACTAACTGGCTAACAGCTCTAGCACACCTTGGATGCGCACTCCAACAGCCTTCCAACTTGGAAGGTTCTACCCCTTCCAAGCGTCACCGCGCGCGTACCTTTTCGAATCGTTGACAAGAAAAAAAAGCTCCGAGGCAAGTCAATCGAAGGCTGTTCTGGCGAGAATTCTCTCGCCAGTATGGCAGATCAGAGGTTATCAGCTTCCCGCTAACCTTGCATTCCACGTTTCCAGGCGACGGTACGAAGAAGGTCCGTGCGATAACATTTTCTATTTCTCCAAGCCGTATGGTAGGGCCTGCTCACCAAGCGAGCAAAGATTCCAGGTGTCAAGGACTCTGAGATTTTCCAGGATCGTGATGGAGCGGAATTCCTCTCGCCTCATGTCAAAGTGCAGAAGGAGCTATCCATGAAATCTGTTACTGGGCGCTTTCGATTACATGTTTACACAATTCTGGAACTGTTTATTTTATATTCTGGAATGGCCAGAATGAGCGTATTCCGGCCTTGTAAACGAACGACTGGAATTCACAACGCATTTTATTCATGTCATGTCACAAACGAAATTGATGAATCGCAAAAAGAGATCACGTACACCCTCGCGATCGATCGCGCGCACGTGGACCTAGCATCGCGCACACGCCGGCCAGGGAGGCTCTTGCGCGCTTGAGTCATGACCAAACCGGTAACACACCGACAGTGCAATTCTGGCGCCAGAATTAGAGAAATTCCGCCTTCTCTTCAGAATTGATGGATTCGACGGAATTGGATAAAATCAATTCTAACGACGGAATTTGTCACTTTTTGTGTAATCGAACTGTGCATCAACAATAACTAATTCTAGAATTGACCGAAATGCGTGTAATCGAAAGCGCCCACTGTACCGCTCCAGCCCAGTCTGCGAGCTGTCCTCTAGGCTATAGCGACTTGTTGTCGTTTTGGATATTAAATAAGTGACAGTTTAGAAGTGCTATTCTGCGTGCAACTTGGCTCAGTACACAAAGAATGGAGTTTTGTTTTTCCTCTGCTTTTTTTTTCTGCCTGCCCGCGTGCCTTTTCCAGAAAATATCTGACACGAAACATAGAAGTGCCTTTTGCAGAAAATATCCGACACGAAACATAGAATTAACTTGGTGTGGCCTTATGCTTGTTCGCGTTGACATCACCAAACAAGCTTGGCTAGTCTTCACATACGCCAAATGAACAAAAGAAATGAGGAACGAGCGAGGCCAATGAGGTGAACACACACGTGCAACTGCAGAATAGGCAAAAGGAAGAATAATAAGACAGTCTTAAAAACACACGAAATGTCAACTATTTACTTCAACAAGTAAACTGGAAACAGATGAATACAGCAATCGTAGCAGCTGACGGTACAGAGTGGCAAAGCGACATAGCACTAGTATACATGATAGTACAATTCTACTTATAAACTACAGCCGAGAACCACGTAGTCGAAAACTAAACAACACGGGTAAACCATTTTCACATGCACAGACAGTATGTACATAGTTCATGTTATTGTATGTCAAACCTGCCCCCCCCCCCCCAGCACAATCCTGGATACGCCACTGACACACATGACTAGTGTTCGGCACTGATCAAGTAAAGTGTTTGTGCATGGTGTGCCGTGCATGTGTGTGCCTGTGTGCTGTATGTGCTACAGATTGCTGGAGTTGATTTTTGCTACTTTTTCCAGGAGAATGTGCTGAATTGGAAAGATCGTACTCTTCATATCTGTGCATACAATGAGACATTTTCTTCCCGGGTGCAAGTGAAAGAGACCTGCCTCTATACGGTAAGTGGAAAACTAGATTGTGGTGTCTTTGTTACCTTCCATAGTGCAGCTGCTAATACTGTTAGGCTTGTTATTTTCGGTGTAACCCTTTGTCGGTGTTTTCTGTAGAGAAACCAGGCACCTTAATTTAAATCACACCTAAAAGGCACTTGAGTATGCACTGTACGTGAAGGGAAAGCTTGTCACCTAATTCTACATTACACCTGCAACCTGTCAGGTGCTTGACACCGACATTTTAATGCACCTAAAGTTACATGTTTTGCAGTAGGTTGTGGCTTTTCGCGTCATTGACGGCTTGGGTGGATCTGATCAAACCCGTACTTTGCAGGCTGCATATCTGTCCGTTGGTCCTTGAGGTGGTGGTCTGGTAGTGCTGGTTGTGGTGGTGGTGGTGGTGGTGGTGGTGGTGGTGGTGGTTGTTGTTATAGTGGTGATGCTGGTGCTGCTGCAGGTGCTGGTGCTGGTGGTGGTTGTAGTGGTGGTGCTGGTTGTAGTGCTGGTGGTTGTGGTGCTGGTGCTGGGGCTGGTGCTGGGGCTGGTGCTGGTGGTCGTACAGATGCAGGAAAATTAGTCTGACTGACTCTCGTGTGAGCCATGAAATTTGCTTATTTCTTGCTACGTTGCTGTGCAGTGTCACCATGTGGTTAGTAGAGAAATGATGCAAGGGTTGGAAGCAAGCAGTACTACTGTATATATAGGCGCATGCGCCTGTATTCGGATACAAGCGCACTCTCACTTATAAGCGCATGCACTACCAAAATTATCACTTTGTCACAATCACGTATAAAAGCATACAGGAACCATGAAACTGACACTACAAGACCTAGTCAAACACGAAGACTCTGGCAAACGAAGTCTGAGCGCGCATGCGCGTTTAGGTGAAATATTTCATTTTCAAAAATTGGATTCGTAGCAAAAATTCACTGATAAGCGCATGTGCTTATATGTTCGTTATTACGGTACATAAAATTCGTTATAACGACCCTTGTTCCAAGATAATTTTGTCCAAACAGGACCAAGGTGAAACACACACCTGAAAAAGCAATATTAAAGATGCAGTATATTCTATCTGTGTATCCGTAGATATGTACGATCTTTTTGGATCTCAGGAACAGCCGTAGAGATTTTCAATTATCCAATAACGAGTTGAAGTGGCAGTAAATTATGTTGTATTGAGGCAATTTGAGGGTACCCCATAATAATTATAAGTACGAATATGTGCTTCTTATATCTTTAGTTGCCAGTCCTGTTACAAGATAAGTCTCGTTAGGCGAGACCAAAATAAAATCAAGACTCCCGGGCGGGACCCATGTGAAATTGGTGCGGGGGGGGGGGGGGGGGCGAATTTTTTATTTTTTATTTTTTTCCTTTGTGTATGCATGGATGCTGAACTTTTTTTTAATAGTATTTCCATTATTTTTTAATTTCTTTTACAGACAACAGGTACGTGGTTTACTAGTAGACCCAGGTGCTCGAAGTCCGGACATGGTATCCTAAGTACGTCTACCCATAACTTCATGTTCTGTTATTGTATTCGACTCAAATATTTTATCGAGGGGACACTGGTATGTTCTCCTGGCATACCAGCTTTCAGGGATCTACGATAAGCAGAAGTCCCATACCACGCGTGTGGGTTTTCGAGTGTCCATCCGAAATACAAATTGGGTTACATTTCATGCAAAAATCAACTTTGCCAAGACCTATTTCGAACGGACACCGCGTCAAACAGACCTTCACTCAATCATCAAGAGCCAGCTTAGAGCTGAGAATGGCCAGAGGAGAAGAATTTACAGAGAATCACCAATCCTTGCAGAAAGGTTGACACTCCTGGCATCTCCACCACTGTTTTCCCTGCGGTTTTCACAGCGCAGCTGCTTCTTCTCTGAGCCGACTAAAAACAGCTTGAATTTCGGCAACAAACTACGCTTTTGCAAGAAATACTGGTGGAGGCACATGCCAAACACATCGCTTCGGTACTTTCGTCGTAACCGGGGGATAGCAAGTTAGCAATTAGCAGAAATATGTGTGTATTTCGAGTCACCTCTGAGCCAGTACGGACTTAGAGCACCCTCTGCGACACCTAAATTTGATATGAAAAATCAGCGAACTCCAGAGAAACAGATCGGATCGAAAGATGGCCTGGTTCAATCGAGCCCGGCCTCGAAACAAACTTGGACAAGATACCTTCCATCCACAAGCAGGATTCTGGCAAGTGATCATTGCTAGTGTGAGTTTCAGCTCGGCAAACACACACTGTAAAAGTGTCCAGACTTCGAGCACCTGGGTCTACCCTACAATTTGTTTTGTATTTCAGCCAACGACAGCCCTGAGTCATTCACCAGGGAGTCGTACAAGCCCGGGTTTGTGTGACACCATGTCACAGATCTATTGGCACGATCAGTAGTACTGTACATAATATGAACTGTTAACAAAAATGCCTTCGGCTCGATTTTGGTGCGGGAGGGCCCGGGAATCTCTTTTTTTTGTCTCACCTTATAAGTCTCGCCTTTTTCGATGGCCCAGAGATAATCTGCTAACGAGGGAGGGCCTGTATACTGGTTGAGCTGAGGATGCCATAATTAGTCAATTGGAGCGTCTGATTGATGGCAAGTGTCCTATAAATATATATGGCTGCATCAATATTGGCAAAAGTGCGCTCAGCCCAGTTATGTGTACGGCAGAGACAGCAAAGCAAGCTGCAGTTGTGGATTGTGCAGCCCTGTGTACAGTACATTCCTATAGTTCGGTAATAATTATATTGCCTGATGTCAGATCGTAACTTAACGTGAAACTCGGAGTCCCAATACAGCTTTCCCCTTCTCCCTATCTCTCGTCTTATCTCTTAATTTATCATTCTTGTGCAGGTTCATAGTGAGAATGAGAATTGGACGTGTTATGACCAGGAAGCTACGATCGAGTTCATTAACTTTTTTGGATTTGAAAACCAGTGTGAAAAGCTTGGCCTGGAAAAATACACACAACAAATCCGCAGTGTAAGTCTGGTTATTTTGGTTAATGCTTTACGATGGTTCTTAATCAAGTCATCTCCTCCCATGCTGCTAATAGACACCCTTAGCAAAAAACGTTATGTTGTAACGGTATATTACCGTAAGGGGGAAATACCGTGATTTGGGTTCGACCTTTAGCAAGATGCACACTATTTTTGGTACGCTTTTGCGACGAGAATAGCTTTTGTTTCGCGCGGTATAACCATTTATGTCACCATATACGCGATACAAGGTGACATGTGTACAGACTATGCAATATTTGACCAAAAACGTACCGTTTGTCACAACGATAAATCAGCCCCCATAATGTTTTTACACTGCAGCTTCAACGCTATTTGGGTGATCAAGGTACGAGTACCGTAAAAAAATAGCGTTACCGTTGTTTGCTCATCCGTAAATACCAATATTTATTTAGAAACGAAAACTAGTCGTTTCTCTTCACCCCCCCCCCCCCCCCCCTAAGGGTGTCTAGTGCGCATATATGCTCTTATTGCTGTTCCCTTTGTCTACACTTCATGTAAGGTTTAAGCAACGGTGTTCTAGTATTGCCAGTTTCCTCACTCTGACTTACCCGCTCCTACTTCAGTACTTGAAATGAGAGGGCTTGAAAGCCCAGGAGCCTTCGCTATGCTTTGTTTTTACCTAGATCAACATGTATGTTATTCAAACTGATAGAACCGTCCTTGCAATACAAAAACAAGTGCACGATAATCGTTTTGCAAAGACGTTTCTATCAGTTTGAATAACACACATGATGACCTAGGTAAAAACAAAGCATAGCGAGGGCTCCTGGGCTTTCAAGCCCTCTTGTTCCTAAATTTTAAGCTAAAAAAGAAACTGGAGCTCATAAGGACACGTTGATACATAACCAGCGAAGCATGCCTTTTTCTTGACAGGATGTCACCAGAGCACAACCCCAGGTGCACAACACCAAAGTGTGAAAATGAGAAACAGAGCCTTCCTAACAATCATTCTGGTGAGTTCCTTGGAGCAGAGAGATTACGAAAATGCCTGGCAAGAAAGAAAGAGTGAAGGATGTAGCTGCTCGTGTGCTGAAAAGCGAATCACCGCCAACAACACCAGTTGCTGTGCGAACCGGACGAAAAGACGTAAAGACTCCCCAATCGAATGGACGTCGCTCTTCATGCCGCAGAACTCACGGCAGGTGGACTGCTGCCAAAGAAGCTGTTCCTATGTCACATTAAACAGGTGTAACTTATTCGGGGAAATGCAGTATGCGACAGATAATGCGATGGTTTCACAAAGATGCGATATACACAACCAACGGTGCTGGTACGCGTCAACCACGTAGAACATTAAAGGCTGGAAAATGGAAGTTTGAAAGACCACGTGTCTAGAAGATGTGCCCGGAAGCCAGCCAGCCACTGCTGTACCAGTACGATGGTGTGTGTACGCACACTGTCAAAAATCAATGCACGTGTGTTTGCGGTGCAGGGGAAAGCGAAAGGGCTGGGTCGACATTCAGGTTGTCGTTTAGCCGGCACAATGTCCCGGTCTCAACGTGGATGACTTGGCGTTCTTCCACAGCCTACACACACACACACACACACACACACACCTGACCTGACCTTTGACGCCCATCGCCGGAGGCGATGATAGCAATGCTACGGCAGAAGCCATAGCAACTTGTGCTGGGATTACACCATTCCACAGCTTGCAAGGCTGAAGAATTGACCGTCACTATTCAGCCTGGTCTACACCATACAGCTATTTGGAGTGACATTTTCTGGCCAGTGAATCCCTATTTTTGGTCTTTTCATTTTTTTTTTTCCCCGCACACACATCACACCACATACTCCGGCATGCACTGGCTGTTGGTAACCACCCAGGAGAATGAAAAAAAGTCAGGAAGAGTCTGAGAAAGAGAAGAAAGACGTGTGTGACCATAATCGTCGGGAATCGAACCCGCAATCTATCGATTGGAAATCGCTGCACATACCACTGCACCATATGGGACACACACACACACACACACACACACACACACACACACACACACACACACACACACACACACACACGGACTCTCTCTCTCTCTCTCTCCTTTGTCTATAATAGCAGGTAGACCAGTGGCATGGGTGAGTTCTGACACTAGGCTTCACCTGTATATGCATGCTATGGTGACATAAATACCTGTATATGCATGCTATGGTGACATAAATAGGACACTGCTGGAGCTCACTGTACTATTTGTTGTGTTGTGTTGTGTTGTGGATTACTGGTCTGTGCTACTTCTTTAGGGCAAAGGTGTCATGGACAAGTTCATCCAAGATCTCTTAGCCAGTGGTGATCCAATTCCTAATCCCTATGCTGACTACCAACTGATGCTTGAGCAGCAACAGCAGCAGCATTTATTGATTACTAATAGTGGTGTTTGTAGAGCTGGTGACACACACTTGTCTAAATCAGCTACAGCAACTGCGCAACGAGATGAAACCATACCAATCTATAGTGATCTGGCGCAGAATAATCTTGTTGCTGCAGATAAGTCTAGTCCCGGCACGATGAGTGCAGTTAGTACTTGTGACAGTGCAGCATACACAACAGTTAGTGCTGCCACTCCTGTATCTACTACCTCTGCCGCTAACCCTCCACCTGTATGCAGTGCTGCACTACCAGACACTAGCTGTGTTAGTGTTTCAAGTGATGTAACTGCCACCAGGCCTTCTGCTTCTGCTGCTGCTGCTGCTGGTGCTACTGGTGCTGCCAGTGCTGATGGTGTAACCCAAGTCAAGGGCAGAATATGTCATCGCAGCAGCAAAAGCTTAGGTAGGACCTGTTAGTTCTGTGCTTGCTGTTCTTGCTGTTCTTGAGTAAAATAGTACTACTTGTTTTAAGTTAGTTGCGGCGCTCAGTGTTGGTGTAATTTCACCTTCTTATGGAGTTGCTTTTGGTTGGCTTGTGGGACTTTTCCTTAAAGTTTGCGAAACAACATGAACAAGGGCTGTGAGGGGTGCAGTCAGTGCGGAAAAGAGTCGCACTGATTGTATAAATCGGTCTATATTGTCACTGTATGTGCTAATCACATTCACTGTGTGGAAGAGAGTGTGTATGTCTCAGTGTCCTCCTCTAGTATTGCCATGCTATCTATCTCTTTCCATTCATAGATACGTTTAAGCTGAATGCTGAATACATTCAGCGATTTCTTGGAGAGTTGACTCCCATTCAAGAAAGCAACTTGATCCAGGTAAGCAGTTTAAACATTACTTTGCCAGCTGTTTTACTTATCTGCCCTAGGCTGTGCTCACACATAAGGTGAGAGAAAAACGCGTGCACATCACGTGGGAAAGGATGTGCATGTGTTGCGCCGAAAACGACCTTTAAAGGGGAAGTTAAGGCAAAAATTAAAATTTCACCAGTTGTAGTCTTCGGGGTGCTGAGTCGAATGGTCTTGGTCCGAGAAAGCTGAGACGCTCCCTTCCTACTTGAATCCCAATCGAACTCGCGCACTTCCACCGAAACTGGGTGACTGCGCCCTACGAGATGGGGATTTGTATGCAAAATGTCACTAAAAGCGCCATTTCGTTCTTATAAAAGCACGGATGACCGCGATTGGCCCATATGTTGTAGTCTTTGGGACGCTGAGTCGGCTGGTTTTGGTCCGAAAAGGCTGCGATGCAGCGTTCCTCCTTTATTCCCAATCGAACATGGTTGAAGAAGCGGTCACGTGGTCCTGGGTGCCCAAATCACCTGGTCACCACGCCAGCAGGTGACAACTTTCACACCAAGGTTCAACTCGGGTTCAACTCGAGTGACAGGACTGCACCCAAAAAAGGTCAAACAGGCTAGTAAGTTGTACCCTGCAGGCACGGTGACCAGGTGACTGGTGTACGCAGGAGCACGTGACCGCTTCTTCAACCATGTTCGATTGGGAATAAAGGAGGAACGCCGCATCGCAGCCTTTTCGGACCAAAACCAGTCGACTCAGCGTCCCAAAGACTACAACATATGGGCCAATCGCGGTCATCCGTACTTTTATAAGAACGAAATGGCGCTTTTAGTGACATTTTGCATACAAATCCCCATCTCGTAGGGCGCAGTCACCCAGTTTCGGTGGAAGTGCGCGAGTTCGATTGGGATTCAAGTAGGAAGGGAGCGTCTCAGCTTCCTCGGACCAAGACCATTCGACTCAGCACCCCGAAGACTACAACTGGTGAAATTTTAATTTTTGCCTTAACTTCCCCTTTAATCAGCTAAAGTGACCTCCTGATGCGAATTGCTTTTCACTGCTGTCGTGTACGCAGCCGTGTGCTATAAATTGCTGGCAATGCTCAATTGTTTCCCCTGTCATAGTCCTGTTTATCATGTTCAGCATAAGCGAAGTTGCGAATCATGCTTGCATGGTTGACTCCAACGCGTACATGCAAGTAATAATAATAATACAGGTGGAATCCTGATAATTCGAATATGGCTTAATTCGAACATACCGCTTAATTAGAAGTTTTTCCAGGACCGATTTCTGTCAATACGATTCCCACATAAAATTCTGATAATTCGAACCTCGAACTGGACATGTCCGTTAATTCGAAGTTCCACGGATTCCACTTACATAGAAAATGTGTGGGATTTGTGCTGATAATTCGAAGTTAGCAAAGTGTAATTCGAAGTTCACTGTACACTGTACTGGTCAGTTCAGTTTGCGTGAGCAGGCTGTGCTGGTCAGTTCAGTATCCGCGAAATCTGTGTCTAAGGTCCATAGCGCAACTCTGCGTGACCATCGGAGCATTTTGACATAGATATTGTGTTGTGGGGTCATGTTTGGATAACTAGAATGTCCGGATAATTAGAAGTTTTTTCCTTGCATTTGGAGGTTCGAATTATCAGGATTCCACCTGTAATAATAATTTTCAAGTTGATTTTGTGTAGCAAAATTGCTATGCAAACGATTGAAAGTAAATTATTCCCTGAGTTCCATTCTTTTTTTCCTGTTTGGGACTTGGTATACCTCAATTTATATTTTCTGAGAAAGTGAGTGAGGTACAGGCCAAGTGTGTCTTGTACCGGGCAGAAACATTTCTACGCTGATTTGCTGAAGCATTACATGGGCCGCAACCAGCTAAAACATGTCTGAGTGAACATTTTTTAAATTTTGTTTTCTTCCAGAAACTGTTTTTGGATCTTACTCAACCTCTTGAAGGCGGTACACGGCGCCAAAGTGTCCCAAACACCGCTTTCAAAATATATACCTTGAAATAGAAAATTACAATTTTCGCACAATCGGACACACAGGCAAACAAGTGACTGTTGTGGAGGAGCAGAATACAAAGGAACTAAAAGTGATGACACAGACTTGGGCATCTCAACAACATCAGCTCCAAGTCATGGACCAAGTTATTCCTGGAAAGCACCACGATGCTCTGGGCGGCGTTGCACGTGCATCCTCATTCGATTCTGGCAATGACACTTTCGATCGTCAATTGCGCTTCCAAGGCTGCGCAAGGTGACTCGTGAGAGCTAAGCGGCACATAACGTTGTAAGCTAGTTCATCATCTGATTTACTCGCCTACATGGCTTTTTCGCTATTGGGGACGACGGGGGCGATTCAGCTTCGCTGTCGCCATCAACATCAGATCCAAAAAGAAAGTGTCATCGTCGCTCTGTAGACCCGCCGCAATGGCTTCGATGACCCCTGACCAAACCCGGCCTGGCCCGTTCACAGTGATTGTCTAGCCCTGCACGCTGCTCTGGCATCACTAGACACGGACATTGTCAGTCTTTGCTCGCCAGCTACTTGAACTACTGTAAGACATGTATATATAACGAGGAAGCAAATCTAACGTTTTAACGGATGACATTTCTTCGTTATAATAAGATCCGTTGAGGCCGTACTGCTTCATATATGCTGTGTGTGGATATGGCAGAATACTGCAAGATCGTTAACATATCTTCTCGTTAACCTATGAATTTTGGACAATCGTTAAATTTGCGACTCGTTATAATAACATGTCTTACAGTAGACTGCCAAACAAGTGTTTGGATGAATTTCGAGTAGATGATCGCCGCCGGTTAATGAATGAAGCGCAGCGTGAACGCGCTCGGCAGAAGCATTAAGTGTAAGTGTGCCTTGACCACCTCGTCTACATTGTAGGTCCTGCTAGGTGCAACGAGATTGGTCAATTCTGTGACCACAGTACTGTCAGGCGCCAAAGAACGCTGCGCTGAAGAATGAATAGGCTAGAAATTGCCAAGGTGCATGATACCCGTATATACAGAGTGACTCAACTATATACTAGTAGGCAGTTCTACATGACAAGTAAGAACGGCCTAGGCTGTAACTCTTGGCACCAGACAGTACTCTGCAGTCGTATAACAGGTATGCAATTAGGGGTCAAAGGGGTGTACCGGGTACCCGTCCGTTAATCTTAGGTACCGTTAGTAAAAGGGTACCCGTTTGGATTTCGATGATCCAGTCAGTTGCTGGGATCGTGTATTCCAGGCGGGAGTCAATTATTTACAACTCCACGCTGGATGTCTGCATTGTTGTTGCATTTTCGCACCTAGTAGATCTACCTCTCCAACTAACAGACACAAATCAATCTGCGAATCACAATGTGATTTCAAAATGCAACCCGAGAACAGATAAATTATAATTTTATATGAAAATTGCGCAATTTTTTTTAACATGGCTGCTAAAGAGTACCCATTAACCCGCCCGCTAAGAAAATTACCCGTTCATTAGTTAAAGGTACACCCGTTTGACTCCTATTAAATGCATACAACTTTCAACATGGACAATTGTCTTCACATGTATTTCATTCATCCATCCATTGTTCCATGTACAGCTTCGCAGTTTGATCTCAGCATCAAGATTTGCAGATAAGGTATGTGCTACTGTTTGTCTGCTTGCCTGTTTATCTGCTCAGCTAATGTAAAAAAAGAGAATTATCGTGTCCGTTCCCCAAGGGAACTCACAACGGCCGGTAACACCCGGTAGACTAGCTAATGTACTGCCTCTGTTATGCTCTCTCTCTCTCTCTCTCTCTCTCTCTCTCTCTCTCTCTCTCTCTCTCTCTCTCTCTCTCTCTCTCTCTCTCTCTCTCATGCCCGCAAAATTGCCGAATAATTAACAAACTATGTTCCCCTTTTGGCCTCCTCCATCTTTCCGTCTATCTCTGCCCGTCTCTCAATTTCTGTGTCAACATTGACTATTTTAGCTTTTGTAGTTTGTGCACAGCGTTTCGGTCTTCATTGCTTTGGCCATCTATCTTATTATTTTTAGTTTTTCAAGAGTACAGGAAAACCAGAGTGTGCAGCTCGGATGGGTTGCTGTCACGGCGGAATTCCGTGATTACATCATTTTAGTGATGTAGTGCGTACAAGCAGGATTCAACCAGGTCTCTTTCTGCACAACTGCAGCTCAGTTGTACGCACTACGCCATTTCCCGCCTCAGATCTGCGCCAAATATGATGTAAAATCACGGAATTCCGCCGTGACATACACCCATAGTAGAAAAAGCCCCAAGCTGCACACTCTGGTTTTCATGTACTCTTGTTATTTTCAAACTCTCATTACCGTTGCTCTCTTTTAGCCTGGTGATGCATTCTTACCTTATGTCATGACGTGAGTGAAACGAGAGAGCTTGGAAGCTCAGGGCCCTACGCTATGCTTTTTTTGCCTTGATGACCTAGGCAAAAAAAAGCACAGTAAATTTATCATTTCTCCTTTTTTTTCAAGACATAACCTGGGATTCGAACCCGCACTATCGCCCTGCATGCACCCCCGATACACTTCGCATACATACTAATTCTTCCAAGTTGCTTCACGTTGTTATTATTATTATTATTAGTAAAGTCGGCGGAATAGCGCGAGCTCCGGTGTGGGGAGCAAACCCTTTTTCTTACAAATTATTATTATTATTATTATTATTATTATTAAGAAAGGGTTTGCTCCCCACACCGGAGCTCGCGCTATTCCGCCGACTTTACTTGACACTTGACTGACTCACGACTGCCATCCAGAGCACACGAGAAGTCCATCGAACCTTCGACTCGGCAAACCTGCAAGAAAGCACCACTCCCTGCTCAATACACAGTGTTTCGGGGAATTCACCCCTCATCAGTTGAGCTTGAGTAGGCTGAGGAAGATTGTGCCTGAAGAGCACCACTTATATAGTGCTCTCCAGGCACAAACATCACCGGGGATACAAACTTACAGAGACGCTCCGTTTCCAGCGCGACAAACACCTCGTGAACACCAGATAGCAGCGTGAGTCAGTGTCGCTCCAGGACGGTGAGACAGACGTCGAGGACCCTCGGTCATTCGCAACGCTGTCACCTCCAAACCAACTAGTCGCAAGCCCGCGCTGGGCACAACAGTACGAAGTAGTGGTTGCGACTTCGGCGATAATTTGTAAGAAAGGGTTTGCTCCCCACACCGGAGCAACGGCGGAATAGCGCGAGCTCCGGTGTGGGGAGCAAACCCTTTCTTACAAATTATCGCCGAAGTCGCAACCACTACTTCGTATTATTATTATTATTATCTTTATTTGGGGGATGACCCAGAGGCAGGTAGCCTATCGAGGGGTTCTCCACTTGTGCGATATTGAATAGGTAGCATAACAGGGGGGGGGGGGGGGGGGGGGGTAGAAGAATAAATTAGCCAGACACATGGAATGATGATCTTGCATTTGAAAGCCCTATTTGAATATTGTGGCCAGTTGTTTGTGGCCAGCCGTCTTTGATGGTACGGTACGGTACGGGACAGATACGGGAGCCAGCAAATATTGTGGCCAGCTGTGTTTGATGGTACGATACTGTACGGGACAGATGCGGGATAGCGCCAGGCGTGACACAAACAAACAAACAAACAAATACCAAATTAAAGCTGTGTGGACCCTTGCTAGCGCCAGGCGTTACTGAAGTAACGTCTTCTGCATAGCTACGGGAATAAAGCCAATTCCATGTGTTGTCATGACAACGTGAGTGATATAAGCCAATTTCATGTGTTGTCATGACAGCGTGAGTGAAATTGTAGCAAGAAGGACCCATGAGTGTGTGTGATCCCCGGTAGCCTAATCGGTAGGGCACTGTCCCGGAAAGACAGGGGTGCTGGGTTCGAATCCCGCTCGTGGATCCTTCTTTTGCAACAAAATAAAGCCAATTTCATGTGTTGTCATGACAGCGTGAGTGAAATAAGCCAATTCCATGTGTGCTGTTTACCTCTTGTTTTTTTTGTCGTTTTCTTCTGATTTGTTGAGAAGATGCCGAATGATGCTGTGCTTCTGCGATTCTTGAGAGCAAGGGAGTTCAACATTGAAAAAGTAAGATTATGATTCGGATCACATCTACGTGTCGTTACACATAGCATCGTCACTGACTGTCAGTCAACAATTCGATGTGTTTAAAGAGGATCTGTCACCAAACATTTTCTGTGTCTTATCTTGTATTCTTTGGGCTCCTGATCATGACAGTGTACGTTGTTTTTTTCTGCGATGACTGGAAGTGAGTGAATGCTTTAAAAGAAGGTACCCCAAATTGTCCCAAAGTACCGAGTGACGTCACGCCGGACTCGACCTTCGTGCGCGTACATTCGCCATCGAAAAAAGTCAAGCCCGTGTGCTGGTCGATTGAGCTAGTTGTTCCGATGTACGGTGCACGTGTGCCTTATGAACTTGGATACAGATATGGGTGCGTTGTTCAGAAGGAGAACGTCAAAAAGAAGAGACCCACGTGTAGTTGCACAGTCAAATAAACAGCAGCTGAGCTTTCACCTTTTTTACTTCCTCTGCAAGATCTTAGTTTTATTTTGCGAGCACAAAAGTAAGTTGTTTTGACCGTTTCGTGTGGGGAACAACACAAGAATGAGCGCTTGTGCAGAAAACAGTACCACGCCACCTCTGGCCGGCGATGACACTACCACCCCAAGCCCTGAAGGAACGTAGCTACGTGAAAGTGATTCGTCTGATGACGATACTGTTGAAGACGCGGATGACGGGCTCCGACGTCTTTCATTTCAGAGCCGCGTGGGCAACACCGCAACCTTCCATACAACAAAATCATTTAGAAGTACGAGGTATGTGAGTCACACTATCAGCAAACAAAACTCTTTCCACTCTTTCCTGAGCACAAAACAAAACGAAGAGCGGGAGCCTCACAGAGGAAGTACCGGCACGACAACAAGCTGTTGACTTTGTTTGTTTTCTCCATTTTTGACGTTCTCATGGTGTTCGACGTACACATCAGTCAAGATTTGCTGTCCGAGTGCACAAGACACGCGTGCACCGTACATCAAAGCCACTAGCTCGATCGACCAATGCACGGGTTTGACTTTGTTTTTGACGACGAATGTACGCGTGGAGGTCGAGTCTGGCGTGACGTCACTTGGTACTTCCGGACAATTTTGTGCATCTTCATTTCAAGTGTTCACCCACTTCCAGTCATCGCAGAGAAAAACAACATACACCATCGCGATCAGGAGCCAAACGACTACAGGATAAGACAAAGAACAATGTAAGCGGCAGTTCCCCTTTAATAGAGAGGTTCTGCTACACGGAACTACGTACCAAACTCCGTGTCAACTGCAGTGAAGTTTGACACGGATTTTTCCTACGTTGCACCGGTTCTGCTGTACGTAGCATGCTCGAACTCCCCGCCACGTGTACTCTGTACGCTCAGTTTTCACACGGAGTCCAGTCCGTGTGAAGCGCGCTTCACACGGAAAACGGTATGAAAAAATCCGTATGAAACTTGATCCCGTACTGCGGCGAGGTTGCCATACGTACTTTGGCACGTTTTACCGTGTGGCAGAACCTCACTAATGTCCTGTAGTTTCCCAGACGGATACCCAAGAATTCGCACACCTGCCCACGTATGTCTCCTCTCTCCCCTTAGCGATAGATCCTTTGCTACGTACAAATGGGTCCACCCTGTCTTGCTGGGGTTGACATTTAGCTACCATTTTTTTACTATTGAGTTGTGTCAATGGTGCTCTTCAGATATTCTTTGCTCGTCAAGATAATGTTCACATGGTCTATGAACTCAGTCTAAAGCACCATAGCTGTGTCCGATGATCTGCTCTGCTTATGAAGCAAAGAATCTTGCGGAAGAGCCTGTGGGCCTACTTGACTTTCGAAAGGGCCATTGGATAAGCTTATATGCCAATGTAGATATGCATCAACAAAACACAGCAAATACTGCTACTACCTTTACCTGTAGGTGAACAACTCACTTCACACACAGGTAGATGTACATTTGGGTAGTTGTGCATTCAGGTAGATGTACATTTGGGTAGCTGTGCATTCAGGTAGCTGTGCTTTTAGGTAGCTGTGCATTCAGGTACGGGGGCGTAGCAGCAGGTCCGGCTTCGGCCGGACCACTTTTTCGCTCGACCACGACCAGATTGTAGCCGTGCATTCAGGTAGATGTGCATTCAGGTAGTTGTACATCCAGGTAGTTGTACATACATGCAACACAGTAGGAGAATTAACAAAATGGAAAATACAGGTACAGTAGGTACATCGCCTATAGGGTTGGAGGCTATTGTAGTATGTCGGCAAGAGTCCATAAACAAGAGTATGCAACTGTGATCTCTTTTCTATGGGTCAGATGCGCGGCGCGCTGCCTTCATTACATCATTCAGCTGCAGTCCGCGCACTGCGGAAAATCAAACACCGCACTTTCCCTCCAGTTTGAAATGAACTTTCGTACGGAACTGGAGTTCACGCGCCAGAATTCAGAGATTGTGTAGGTACTGGAACGAATCGAGCAAAAACGGATGGGCTCGTGCGAGAAATTGAGAGTTTGGATGCATGCTTTCAGAGCGTGATGAAGGCAAGTTACGTAATGAAGGCAGCGCGCCGCGCACTGACCCATAACCACAGTTGCATACTCTTGTTTATGCACTCTTGATGTCGGCTATAGTGATCAATTTCTCAAATTCATTTTCATTTAATCTGAACCGTCCACCTCTCCACACTGCGCTCTTGGCCCACATTCACAACACGACTCCATAGCGAGGAAGTTCGTTCTTGGGTAGATGTTCCATATCCTCCAGACAGCTGTTTCGCTCATTAAGAGCTCCTCAGTGGAGGTAGATAACGAATGAATAGCAGATAAAGGAATTATGGTGAAAAAGGAATGAGTATATTTATAGGGTAAAGTGCGATTGTGCACTTTCTACATAGAAAAGTGGCATATCCAAAGAAGTTGAAGGTGACAAAAGTTGGACGGTTGGACGGTGGATGGTTCAGATTATTTTCAAATGGTCGAGCTTGTCGCTACTTCTGAGTCATTTTTCATTTGCCATGACTAAGTATAAGCAGTTATCGCGTATAGTAATATATCGCCAAGAGTACATAACCAAGAGTGTGCAACTCCTATCTCGAGCTGTGATGGGTTCATCTACGGTGGAATTTCTTCATGGATTCATTCTTTGGCAGAAGTATGATCAAGCGTGTATGCTTTCCCACACTTGTTTCGTAGATACGGTGAGAGTTCATCAGGTTCAGGACAGTTTGATCTATCATCCATTGTTCTGCTTTGACTACCGTAGCTGTGGTGTACAACTTCTTTGTACTTTGATCTCTTGCTACGCGTGATGGCATCAGTGAGCCAAACCACCGCCAAAGACTGATGTCATAAAAAAATTCCGCCGGGAGCTGGGGGATCGTCGAGTTGCAAACTCTTGGTTATGTGCTCTTGATATCGCCTATAGTGATCAAATTCATTTTCAAAAGACCATTATTACATTATTATTGCATCAGATGAAGTTTGAACTCGGATGGAGAGGCACGGATTAAAATCAAGAAGAAAGGACCAACGGTTGAAATGTTATCCATAGTTGTCCAACACTCACAATGAAAGCCATTGGTCCTTCGTCTTCCGTCATCATCTTGTCACAGCTAACATTCTTAGTTTGCTGTGACATTTAGCCTGTTTTCATCTTGAGTTGCCTCACCTTCACGTTATTCCGTAACTAGGAGCCTTCCAAGTTGGAAGGTTGTTGGTGTGCGTATTCGAGACGTGATGGAGCTTAACGTCAGGTCATTGAATGTCAGTAACACAGCAGTCAATATCGTGCCAACTGTTGCACGTTGTGACTCACCAATAGCCTGCTAACTGTTGCACGTTGTGACTCACCAATAGCCTGCTTATAATTGTCAGTGTTGGACAACTACTGATATCATTTCAACTTTTGGTCCTTTCTTCAGATTAAGGTATTGTTCTGGTTTCAAGTGGTGGCAGAGGTCTTGTGGAGAGAAAGAACTGCGTCCATGTCACGGAAAAACCAGAATACAAAGTTTCCAATCTTGTGCAAAAACATGCACTGTGCACACATGTGTACACATATGCACTTGACGTAGGTCATATGCACTTGACGTAGGTCATATGCACTTGACGTAGGTCATATGCACTTGACGTAGGTCATATGCACTTGACGTAGGTCATATGCACTTGACGTAGGTCATATGCACTTGACGTAGGTCATATGCACTTGTTGTAGGTCATATGCACTTGACGTAGGTCATATGCACTTGACGTAGGTCTGCACCGTAACCTAGTATGCTGTGACTGCTGTGACTGCTGTACTACTGTGACTGCTGTGTCTGTTGATACCCCACTTGGATAATAATACAGTCATGTAGTATCGGACATACATGTCAGGCCTCACTATAACGGCCCCTGCTATAGCTTAAACATCAGTTGGACAGTGCAACATTACTGTGTTTCTCTCTTGTCGTTTTTTCTTCTTTTTGCTTATGTGCACAGGCTCGTGACATGATATGTCATCATCTTGGTTGGAGAAAGCAGTACCAGGTTGATCAGATTATCCAGTCTTGGGTACAGCCAGAGGTATTGCGCTTGTACTACCCAGGCGGATGGCATTATTCTGACAAGGGTTAGTCAATGCCACACAACCCCCCCCCCCCCCCACACACACACATGTACTTGCTCACTGCCAAAACTGTTCCCGCCCAGGCGGCCTTGGATTTTCTGATCAAGCCCACCCAGGAGAGCTTTGATTTACTGATCTAGCTCCCCTTTTTAACTCTAGGAGTTTGAGCTGTGCTATGTAAGCACGATAAATAAAAACACGATAAGAAAATTAAAATGGTTGTTCATGTCAGGTATGTAGTGAAAAAAGTTGCTCATGTTCCATCAGCCAAACACAGCCCTTCGCACAATATTTATATGAGGCATCGGCAGCAAGAACCGGGGTCCTGGCGATTTTTCAAAATGCCAATATTTGCGAAAAAACCGAACCGATGTCGTTTTTTAGTCACCGCGATCAAATCGGAAAGACTTCTTGCGCTATCGCTTTGAAAGTACTTTCCTCTTGGTGGCTTCACTATAATTAAAAATTTTTGTTGTCATCGCAGTTGTAGTTTATCCGCCAAGCACTTGGGACGTCCAGGTGGGCGTTTTCAGTCATCGTGGAGGCGTTTGCTCTCTGTGTAGCGTCTGGAAATCATGCGCTCAAAAGAGAGCGGAACAAACAATATCTTGGCGGAACGATCCCGTCACAAATTCTTGATGGAGCACGAGCGACTAGAATATTTGGCAGCTGGATCTCCAGAGATACTCCGCTGCCTGTGATAGTCTCCCGCAAGAAGAATCAGGTGAAAGTGAAGAGGTTTCGCTCAGATGACAAGCCATCAGCGGAGGCAGCCTAGACGATGAGTTTGAGAGCTCCTTGACACGAAGTGGCGACGCGGACAGCAGCGCTGAGAGTGACGAACGAGATTCAGTACTCCGTGGCGACTATTCGCAGCTGAATAAGTTGGTGAGATACGGAGACAGCCCTGAATGAACTAAACCTTACTTGATAGAAGATATTTTGTGAATAAAATTGTTGCAAGTATACATGCACGCTTGCGGTGCGCATGAAATTTGTCACAGTATAATGCATGTATCTAGGAGCTGCTGTGCGTAGGAGAGCAAAACATGCTTGGTGCCAATGGTGGATGTATCTGGCTTGGCCCAGCATGCATATCTAGTCTTGTACTAAGTTAGTTGTAGATTCTTCCCAGCCATGTAAAACGTCAGTTGCTTGGCTTCTTTCTGTCTGACAAGTCTGCATACAACACCAGACCTGCACATGACAGGGATTGAGTTTTCAAGTAACATTGCAGCAAGTGCAGGCAACAATGTTACTATATTTTCAACTAGAGTACTGTGTGCTTCCCTCAAGACCTATAAATATGCTAAATTATTCTCAGCCACTCCATTAGAGCTAGCTGTAACTGCGTTCCATGTTGCCCTTTTGCTGACCATTTTTGTCGACCTTCACCCATCATTTCGGGTGTTCTTTTTACCATCTTGGAAGGTGCCCAGAGCTCCAAAACTTGGCCCATAGATCACTCATTTAGTGGACAGTTCAAAGCCCTCAAAAACTTATTTTCGCTAAATATCATCTAACCCGGGTTTTTGCTGCCCATGCCTCATATATATTTTATAAGTTTGATTCGCATGTACCGTAAAGTACCGCCAGAGCGCCCCGTCTCACGAGAGCGCCGCACCTTGATTTTACAGGCAAGTGAAGAAAATCGTATGGCAGTATGCTACTAAGTTTGTATGATGTGGGAACTTTCGTGTGCTAAGGTCACACTTGGCATATTTTTATGTGGAGCTCACATCCTCTCGAAGGTAAACTGGGCACGGATTGACTACACAACATGCAATGTGTGTACAAGGTCCGTGTCGTATGACCTACAGGCAGGAAACCACCTCCACAAGACGACCACGAAAGGACGAGATGGTGGGGCGCTCTGGCGATACTTTACGGTACAGGGTGCATGTTAGAATTGTAATCAAAGCACTCGTACTCTTGTTCGATCAGCCTAATCACCGCTCTTTTCGCGGTGGACTGTGAATAGGCTTTGTCTGACACTCGTACTCCTGCTTGATTCCCTACTTCAGATGGTCATCCAGTGTTCATGCTGCGACTCGGCCAGGTTGACGTGCAGGGTTTATTTGAATCAGTTGGTGAAGCTGCTATCACTAAGCAAGTAAGTAGGGCAGTAGGGCAGTATGACTAATGAAACCTTGTAAAGAGTAAGGGTCAATAAGTTACGAGTTACCGTATTTCCGCGCATATAAAGCCATGACGTTATATCCGAATATAAGGCCACCCTCACTTATGAAACCATGGCGTTATAAGTGAACAAAATTCAATGTGGAGGAAGTTGCATCTGGCGTTAAAGGTGAGTTCAATTCTTTCAGTGAACGTACAGTAGCGGTGATTCTCTCTGCATGTACCCATCCCCACTGTCACATGCCATACCGCCACCGCACCTTCACACAAGTTTCCATGCCACCTTGTACACAATAGGTTCACATTTTGAAATTTTCAGGGAAAATTGAAAGTACATGGATGCTCGACATGAACGTGCAACGGCACCGTACGAGTACTCGAAGTTCATACTCTGCCGATTTTTTTGCATGTACGCGTCTCTCACTTTTAGCGCCATGGCGTTAAAACCGAGGCTATTTTCTCCAAAAATTTGGTCCAAAACAGCGATGTTTCACCTATAACGCCATGGCGTTATATGCGCGGAAATACGGTATGACTGACAATCCACCAAGGTAACAAGATAATATGCTGTCAGATAGTGTACCTACTTGGCACCTCCCTTCCCCTCGTTGGAATTCTTCCCACCTGAGCCTTCCACGTTGGAGAGTTGTTGGTTTGCGCTTCGTAGTTGTGTTGGAGCTAGGTGTCAGGTCGTTGAATGTCTCAGTACCTCTGTCAGTTTTGTGCCTTGTTGTGGCACTATCTGACAGTATATTATTATCTCGTTACCTTGGTTACCTTGGTGGACTGTTAGTCACAACTCGAACTTATTGATCCTTTCTCTTAACATGAATGCAATTGCCTCAACATCCAAGAGTTCTAGCCCAAGATCGTAAAATTTGTCCAAAGGAGACTAAGGGGCCGTCCGTAAATGTCGATAGTTTTTACAATCCGTGAAATTTTCGTACCTGGGTGGTGGGTGCAGCCGAAATTCAAAGTAAAATATCGATGACACGCGGACCTGGCGCCCAGTACTGCGTGTGCGTGGGTCTGCGTGCGTCGAACCACACGTACACGTAGATTGTTGTCTCCAAAAAATGTAGTGGAGATCGAAACTCTTGAAGCAAAAGAAAGAGGGAAGTTTGTCAGATATTATTCACAAGTATAATTATTGCACAATTATTCGAAGTATCACAATACCTGATTAATCCGGGTCAAGTCCAGCTCTTATTTGAACTCCACATCGAAGAATTGCTACATCGCCAATGGTTGGAACAGTTCCCATGTGGAGCGTGGCCTAACGAAAATGGCACGGCAGACTACTTTGTTTGGTACAGCTGCCTAACGAAAATGGCACGGCAGACTACTTTGTTTGGTACAGCTGCCAAAAAAGATAAGTTTTTCAAAGAGCTTGACAGCCCTGGTGAAGACGACGATGGCTACTACGCCGTCATCGAGGCCTTGTGGACTGTTGAAACGTCCAATAATCGATCTGCGTTTTTCACCAAAGCACAGAAGCAGTGGATGGAGACGTTTTCCGCAGACCCGCAGGCAAGGTCGGAGATCATCCAAAAGGCCAATTCACTCAGAGCGAAGGACGGGCAGAAGCTAGGAAGTAGCATTATAGTCATACGCTGTATGGTTTCTTATGTATTCAGCAATGCATGTGCTTGCTGGATTGATTGCCCATAAAGGGTATGATGTATTTGGAATGAGCTGAAGAGCAAGTGATTCTTGGACAACATTCCTGGCATAAGTCTGCCAAAATTAGGGGTGAAAGTTGGCACTGAGATCCCGAGTTCGAGTACTCTGATTTTCTCCGATCGAATATTCGAGTATTCGAGTATTTTTCATCTCCTAAAAATTGCACACCAAGGGCTTTAAAATAACATGGTGCAACCCTGATTGAACTGAGTAGCAGTCATTTTTCTCAGGTATATTGGTTGGTGGGTCAATTGGGCTCTCTCCACTCGAGAACAAATGTTCACCACACAGTCTGCACATCACCATCTGCCGACTGCTGCCCTGAAACTGCAGATTTCTGTAGAAAATGCATGTACCACGTATGAACGAGTACTCTGATTTATTCCGAGTACGATTATTTTTGAAAAAACCGAGCGAGTACTCGAGTACTCGGTATAATTGTTTCACCCCTAGCCAAAATACATTGCTGTACTCTAGTTATGAATGACACGGTGAGCGCATGCCTGCTTGTGTATGGACTCCATGGACTCCACCTACATTTATGTAGGTACAGTACATGTGTCATCAATATTTTATTCCGTAAAAAGTAGGGGGGTGGGTGGTGGGTCCTGGTTACTTTGTAAAATTCACGGATTGAAAAAACTATCGATATTTACGGATGGCCCCTAAAGTTATGATCCGGAGAATATGGAAAATGAGGTGAGTTGGGGTCAAATTGAGTCTCCGTACATTTTCCGGTACGTAAAGGGTTGATGCCTCTGCTTTTCCTGTGGTTCAATACAAGCACTGGTTTGCCTTCTTGGCATATCCTTTTTGCATGCATGTGCTGCGATTTTATCGCCAGTACTGCTTTTGCCATAGTCATGCTGGGTACTAATTTTTCAGAATAGAACTTTGAGAGACAAGAGCTGTGCACTTCCCGTGGCATGGAGTTCAGAGTTGTGCAGTTGTTCTCATGTCCAGATTAGTACATGAGTGGCTCGCTTACTTGCAAGTATACCGTAGTGTCTTGTAAAAAAGCCTGTCTCATGTAGAAGCCTGTTTTGAATAGAAGTCTGATTTTTCGAGATGCAATGTCGGCACATAAGCCTGGTTTTAGTGTTGACATACATAGAAATTCTTGTCTTGTATAGAAGCCTGTCTCATATAGAAGCCTGCCAAATTTACCCAAAAAGGTAATGTAAGCCGCGGCTTTTATACGCGACTTTACGGTATTTGCCTTGTTTGTTCCGACTTGTAGACTACAGTTGGTGCAGCTTGTGCTACATGGCACGTGTCCTGGCCAATGTAGTTGACATACTCACTGCCACATGATGAAGTCATCTACCAGCATATCATGGCCACACCACGTCTTCGGCGTCGTCATCTTGCCAGTTTGCTTTCACTGTCACCAGTGTATGCCTTTGCAGTATCACGTTGCGTTGTGAGTCATTGCTGCTTGTGAATGCCGTGTGTGTGTTTGGGGAGGGAGGATGAGCACTTGTCCTGGAATGCTTTCTGTTGCATGTGTAATGACAAGAGAACATGACCCCAAGAGTGTGCAACTGCCAGCTCAACCTCTATGCAGTGCTGCGACGGCAGAACTTCACATCACGTGATATGTTTAAATAGGTTATGCTGGCAATTAGTGCAAAGTGACCACAAGAGAGTTGAACCCAAAGCAGGATTGCGTACAACCCTGTATCCATCACACACAGGGTACAAATAATGTGTACGGGTCTGTCACTTGATGTGAGGTTC